ATATTTTGAAAACTTATACCTAGATATATTCAAATTCGGTAAACATTTTTTTTAAGATAAAAGGTTCATCGGCTGTTTCAAAAATGACCGAAAAGCTCAATGGTACATTGTTAAGAAGGCTCTGAAGAACTCGAAAAAAATGGTTGAAAAAATCCTTTCACCAAACTTTTGAAAACAATAAGAGCCAAATTTGAAGAATTCATTTCGTAATTATTATTTGTTTTAATGGATTGCATGTTTAATAGACAGTTAAATAATTAGTTGTTACTAATTTAATAATAATTTGATAGAATATGATCCACAACGTCATTTTTTACTGTTGACAGATGTTATTTTTCACAATTTTTATCTGAATTTTAGACTGTCAATTAAATTCACACTAAAACATATCAGAAATAGAAGTTATTTCTTCAACTTTGAAATTTAATATGTATTTTGAAAAATTTGGTTCAGGAATTTTTTTACCATTTTGTTCGAGTTCTTCAGATCATTCTTAACAATATACCATCGAGATTTATCGCCCTTTTTGGAACACTATATTTTTTTAACTTATTTTTATAGATCAATAAATTACAGTTAATATGGTGTAAAACTCTTAGGTGTTTGTTCCATTTTCATAACAAAAAAAAAAACAAAATTGATGAACATAAAAAAATTTAAGTTGAATGGATTAAAGTACTACCACTTTATTTTTTAAACAGTACGAATACACAAACACAAAAAACAATTGGTCGAATGTTGTTTCTACAGAACTTCCCTCGCTCTTGACGTACAATGGAACAAATCCAGCATTTTCGAGTTGAGTTTTCCTTTATACAATTTTGTGATGATACCAGTATTGTATTCCCAAAATTTACGGGGAAAATAGAGTGAGCCGTTTAATCACTAAAATAAATAGACTCATTAATTTTTTTTGAGCCATTTGTTTAAGCAAAAAAATGTTGAAATGACGTCATCAATTTTTGAGGGGAATAAACAGATACATTTTGATTAACAATTTACAATGCTTACAGTAACTTTAAAACGTCTACAAGATTTCAAACTACTCAGTTTTGCAATACTTGATTGAAGCAATAAAATAATTGACTCAGTCATTAATTTTTTTGAGACAGCCTGTATAACCAAATCTAAAAATATGAATGCAGTGATAAGTTACAGGTACAGTCTGATCAATACTGATCATATTTTGCACATTTTCGAAAGAATTTATTCGGCAAAATTTTGAGATGACGTAATCAATTTTTGGGGTTGATAAACCATGCTTATAATAACTTCACAACGCAAAGATTTTGCAAATAGTAAATCACAAGTATAGACTCATGATATTTTGAACCTTTTATATTAGATTTATTTGGCAAAATTTTGAGCTCATGTCATCAATTTTTTGGAGGGAATAAACAAATATATTTTGATTAAAAATTTATTATGCTTATCATACCTTCTACAAGATTTTAAAGTATTCAAAATTAAATTGCAAAATTTAGTGTTACAATTTTGATTTTTTTCGAAAAATCTGGACGTTTCGGGTAAAAACTTTACACAACACAAAATTTGACAACAATAGCCCTAGAACTTTCGGAGATTATCTGTCTAATAAATATCTGGACGACAGACAGACGGAAACAAGAGACCTATTTCTTCGTGCTCTAGGGGTCATAAAATGTCCAGAAAACGTAAAAGTAGAAAGTCGGCCGACGGACTCGATTACAATACTTCCTTCGCTTACGATCGGGAAGTATAAATAAAATTTATGAACATAAAAAAATTTACGTTGAATGGAATGAAGTACTTTATTCCACTTTATTTTTGAACCGGTAAAAATAGTAAGAACTGTTTCAAAAAGAACCATTTAAACATCTTTTCGAACGTTTTACATGTTAAAGAGGTTCAAGCATTCCTAACTCTCTTTTTCAATCTTCTAAATCAAAGGCAAACGCCAGATCTTTTATAGATCACCACAAAAATAGTTAATTCTGATGGTATTAAGTCTGGGCTGCAGGCTGGCCATCAAGTAGCGCCTTTAGGTATTGCCCACCCAATTTTCATAATAAATGTTTTCCATAATTAAAAAATGTAGCTGTTTCAAAGAAGTATTGTTATTTATATAATTTACAGTTAAAACTAAGACAACACGTATAAGTATTTTATATCATTGTAGTCGTAATTTAATGGTCCACCAAAATCCGTTAATAACAAATATGTACCTATACATCGAAACTTTAAAAAATATAGGTTTTTGTCCCGACGCCGTATATACTAAATTAAGTTTCCCCCTTCAAACTAAACACAATGACGTTTACAGAATTTCAAAATTTCTATCCGTTCTCAAGATATAAGACCCCGAAGTTTTATCTCGAACAATTATTATGCCCCTGAAGAACCAAATTTTGTGCTATTTTTCTCAAATTTTAATTTTATTCAGATTATATTCAGACCGTGACATGCAATAAAATAATTGGTCTAAGTTTATTTAGACAGAACTTCAGCTTCGGAAAATTATTACAGAATTTAATTTTGGCAATTTTATTTATTTTATGATAAAGGCTAATGTGAACTGTTAAACTATAGGTAAAGGAGCATGTTATGCGTATGTTTCAAGTGAGTTTTCCATAACAATTTTTTTTATGAAGTTCTAAATATTTTATCAAGGACACTTACATCAATTTGATTAGGTAATACTAATAATAACAGCACTGTATTCTTAAGTTTTCGGGAAAATAGGATAAACAGTTTTTGAGTGGATTAATAAAAAAAATCTGAACCATCACTGTTCTTATGGAGGTTTATAATATGTGTCTAAAAACAAGACGGTTTGAACAATAAAAAATGTAATCATAAACAAAATCAAGGTGGCTTCATAAACTGCAAGTACAGTGGCCTTTATTAAAAAATATTTTGCCTGGACCTCACAAAATTGTTGTGGGGGTATTTAGACAAATTGTGGTTAACGTTTTACCATCTACATGCTACTCCTTCAATACACATAAAATTTGAGGACAATCCGTCCAGTAGTTCCGGAGATTATTTATCTAATAAAAATCAACACATACAACAGACTGCTGACACTTTGGGAATTAGAAAACTAAAAGTCAAAAACGCATAAAAGTCTGAAAGTACAGAATTGAAACTGTAGAAAAATTGTTTAAAAAAGTTATAACATTTCCGAACATTGATAAATGATAGATTTAACTGTAATGACATATTTTAGCCATATATACAGAACGGATCAAAATTATTACAGGGGTAACTCTCCCCAGTTTTTATTTTTAAACATAATCCTTGTTTTTAAATCAAGAAAAACATGTCCGGTACACGGTTTCTTAATCATGAATCCTCACTTAATATTTTATTAGAACATCCAAAGTATACTTGCTTTAATACATACAAGAAATTGCAAATAAAATATGCTTGAAACTTAAATCATCTTACAAACTTAAAAATCCGAAACAAAACATCATTTTGTTGCACTTTAGAACATTTTGAACTTGTGCTATGCTCATGTGACACGCATATATTATCAGATAATCACATCAATATAACTTAAAAACGGTTTCATATATTGTATTTCTAAGTTGGAAGATTTTTCTTGATTTTGCAACGCGTGCACCACCTGAACAAATCTTTTCACATGTTCTAAAATTTAAATGATTCCGGTTGACGTTTAAAATATAGTGAAGACAAGGCTGTGGCATTTAGCGTCATCTGCACATAATTTAATATGCAATTAACGCAGCTTATGTCGTATATCAATAACTTTACTACTCAGAAAATGTTTCATTGCCTGTGAAATCTGTTGACCAAAATTAATTCAAAACTACCGCCTGTACAAACGTGAAAATGTACATTGAAAATTTCAAAATATAGTTCAACCATTTCTATTTTCGCAGTCCCATGTGTCGAAAACTGAAATTCTGGCATCTTGGTATACTATGACAATAGAAACAAATAATGTTTTTAAAAAATCCATCTATTTGTATATTTATAATTCGATGATTCTTGTTATAGTCTTTGATTGAGAAATGCTAGAGACCAAATATGAAAAACTCTCAGAAAACTATAGCCGTCGTCAAAAAGCACAAATAAAATGTTCTGGTCGAAGGACAATACGATAAAATAACAAAAAAATGTTAGAAAATTGTGTATAATCATAAAAAGGACCTTTAAACGGGTACTTCATCGTTAACTTCATTCGCCAGTAACAGTCGGTTGTTATTTTGTAAAGGCTGAAAGCAATGAAAAACTTTCTGCAACATGTCTTATGTTACATTACGTTTTTATAAGTGAGTTTTTTTGCACGGCTTATTTTAACCTTTTTATCCACGCCGCTTTCTGCCTTTACTACACAGACTTTTTCTTTTAGTACAAAATAAGAAAAACCGTGGAAATAAGCAAAAAATATAACAAAACAAACCACAGAAATAAGAATTGTATGAGAGCTTTTATTGCGGAATGGATTTTGATATGTGTGATTTAGCCGCAGCTGCTGACATATTTTATTTTATTCGCAATTTTCTTTGACGCATTTATTCGTAATAACGCTGTAAGATATCGCGAAAATCCGGGGAATTTTCACTCGAACATGAAAGTATATTCGAATTTGATGAGTGCAATAATTCTAATGCAAACTGTACGAAATAGACGTGCCGGATTTCGATATGTGACACAACTATTTCGAATTTGAGGAGTCAAACATAAGTAGTAACTTTTATTACCAAATTGTGGGTGTGTGTGGAAACTCGAGATTTATCCGAAAAGTGTATCGCTTCTGTGACCCCACCCAGAGCACATGTCGCAATTCTAACGACACTACTAAAATAAATGTCAATAATAATGCAGGCTGGAAATTAATAGCAACACGAATTTTCAAGAAGACCTCCTTTACACAAACGGGTTCTTGTGAAATGCTCTGAAAAAGAAATTATGTGTATCATCCTAAAAACACAACACCTCTCATTCGAGATGCTATAAAAGCGAAAGGATTCACCAAATCGGCATCATTTGCTTGATAACGCCTCAACACAACCGACAAAATGAAACTGGTAAGCCGAACCTTACGTAACCTACGATTTACTGATGTGTGCATCCTTTCTTTGTTGTTTCAGATTGTTTTTGCCGTTTTACTGTGTACCGCCTTGGCTGGACGCTTAGATAACAATTACGTACAACCCCAAGGGCAGAATGTTCGCTCTGGACCCACCCCGCCGCCACCGGCCATCCTACGCCTGAACAACGACAACAGGGGCGACGGCAGCTACAAATTCGAGTAAGACTTTTTGTTTCAAAGGAGTTATTACTCTCGAACGAATTGTGTCGGGGATTTTAAGCTTGATAGAATTTCACGAAGATTTCGATGATACCCCGATTGATTCCCAGACAAAAATACTTCGAATCAAGGCAAACTTTCGCAATTTTTTCTAAAGAATTATTCACTTGTGTACTGCGGAGAAGTTCATTTTACAAAAGAAAAATCCCATTAAGAGATTTTCATGTTGCTGAGTATTTTTTTTTTAATTGCGGTAACGAGGGTCCAGAAAAGTTCACGTTCAAGGTTGACTATGCATTATATGTATGTCATATTACTATTAAGATGTCATGTTAAGTCAACACTACAAATTAATTTTAAATTAGCAGTCGATTAAATGAAGACAAACCTGTTTCAAATCAAAGTTGTTCTAGGCAAAATCATCAATAATCATTCATCATAAAAACGCGTCAAGCTTATTGGTAATTTTAACGACTAGTTGCACAAGAAATTGTAATCAGCAAGTGCCATTAATGAGTGTTTTTATTGTTCGTTATTGAAATCATTGAAAAGATAAGCTATGTACAAATTGCTAATTAAAAAAAGGTCGTCCAATACATGTTGATTAATGATTTATGAAGTTCGTAAATAATGTCAGTATATGCATATTAAGTATGGACAAAAATCGCGGCTGTTTTCTTTTACAATTAGAAAAGTGTTATATAAATTTTTACACGAAAATATATTCTTTGACAAAAATTTACAATGTACAGGAGCTAATTCGAGAGATTTTTTGAGGATGTCAATTTAGCCAGCCAAATTTTATAATTCTAAAGGTATTTAGACAAGACAGTCAACAACAGAAAAAAACCACTGCCATTTTTAAAATTGTATATTTAAAAAACAAATTACAAAATACGTAAACCTAAATAATTCTCTTCCCCTGCCATCAAGCGTTGTGTAAAACAGTCCAGACTCACTCCATTTTCACAATTATCGATTTGCAAAACTAAATTAACACAGGGTCACACTCAACTTCTCGTTTCCCCAATCACTAAAACCATCGCAATTAATTGACCAAAATTACCACATTGAGACGATCTCCTTTCACAATTGCCAGGTTTCAATTTCCAAAGATTTTAAACAAATACGCAACGCATCTGCTTTAAATGCCAACAAAAGCACTAACCGATCCATTAGTTTCGAAACAGAGAACCAGATCACCCAGCAGGAATACGGCGAAGTGAAGAACGCGGGAACCGACCAAGAAGTTAATGTGATCCAAGGGTCCTACTCCTATACCGGTCCTGATGGTGTCATTTACACCGTAAATTACGTCGCCGATGAGAACGGATTCAGGGCCTCGGGCGACCATATCCCAACCGCCGCCCCCGTCCCTGCCGAAATCGCCGACGCCGTCCAGCAAAATGCCGCTGAAGAGGCTCAGGGATATGTAGATGACGGACAGTACAGGCCAGAGGGCGAAGGACCAGAAAGGCCTCAAAAGGGTTACAACAACCGTTACTAAGACTTGAATTTACCGTAGTTTTGTAAATACTTGAAACTATTTATTACACATTAAAGTCCAAAGATACACACTACGTCTTGTGTTTTACTATTACGAACCTAAACGAATACAATAACGGTGGTTTTTTTGAGTTGCACGTTCCGGTGATAAGAACTGTGCATCCGGAGCTTTGTTTTGCGTAACTGCTGCGTTTCCGGAGAGGCGTAATTAATACACGCATTGAATTGTGAAATGGGTTGTGATGTATTTGATATGTTGTTACCTTGAAATTTGTATTTCGTCAGTAATCTGTATCAGCGTTCATCCATCACCAAGAGCGAATTCACGAAATCGTATTGAAGTGAAACGAGATGGGAATGAGTCTCCTCGAATTGATACGGGTTTCATAATTATACGTTGTAAATAAACCTTATGAAATTTGAGAGCTTTACGGGAATATTTCTCAAGAATTATACGCAGCTAGAGTGGTTAAGTGAGGAATTTGATGATAAAGCCGGGGGGCAGTTTGGATTCGTTTGATGAGAGAAATACTCTGTGGTACATTTGGGCTAAGTGGGATTACATAAACTGACAATGGGTAGTGATGGCGGAAATTGGTGATAAAACACTTCTGGCGATTTCGAAACTATACTTTTTAGTATATTATATGTCCCGGATTTTATTCTACATATTTATGTTTTTATTTGCTAACTATATTTCACCAAGCAGTAAAAACTACTTTCAGTGGCAAGTTTAGCAATATACAAATGGAACATGAAAAGCGATCAACAACAGATGTAGTAAGCAATATGATGTAAAAACACTTTTTCGACTAAAAAAAAAAATAGAACGGTAACAATAAAAAGATTTCCATTAGATAAATTTTCATAAACAACTAAGCAAAAATTATAAAATTCGAGAATTTGTTTGTTTTTTCATTCCCTATTTTGAAAACTCAAGAGTTTCTTGAGTCATCACAATCTGCATAGCCTGTTTATTTTCCTACCTAAAATGTGTACATACTTTCTCTCCATTTCAAAACTGAATCTCGTTACTATATTTTTGCGTGCCTCTGTTTTTCTTTTTAAGTATTTAAGCTAACACTGAAGACGAGCATAAAGTTCATAATAATATGTATACTGATATATCTAAAATCTCAGACAAGATTAATCACAACCTGTTAATTGAAAAACTCAAAGCACTTGGTTTTCACGACAGTATTTTGTCTAGATTTACTCACGTCTAAACAAGTTAAGGTTAATGGCGATCATTGATCGCCTATTATTGTGACTTCTGGTGCTCTGCAAGGGTCTCGTTTAGATTCGTTGTTCTTCAGTGGTTTTATAAATGATGTAAAAATTGTTGTCTCCAACTCTTCGCCTTTTTATATTCCGATGATTTCGAATTGTGTGGCAAATAAATGTGGCTATAAAAAGCTTAAACGCCGAAGTGAATTGATGTTGTAGAAATGGTTCGAAGTTTATAACAAAATTCAAGTTCAAGTTAAATACAAATCTAAACTTCAAATTTTTTGTAAAGATTTAATAATTTATCTTGGACTGCTCTCCACTGAAAAGAGGCATCAATATTTGAACATCTGTTTTAGGTTTTTAAGGTGTTGATTTAATTCCTTGCCATAATATATTTCCGGATCTTTGTCCTCCATATTTTGTAAAATATACTAATTTATTTTATACTTCTTCAAAAGGTAGAAGTTAATATATAAATAATACGTCCCACTTTAGTAGTAAACCTGAGATTAACACTTTTCGTCACAATTCCCTGCAGAAATGCAGCACATGAAACATTCCAAGATACATATATCAAGGTAAGTCTAACACTTACTTTTCTGTCTTTATTTTAAATATAGTTTTATTTACTCGTGCATGTATTTCAATTTTATATTTTGTATGTAAATGGGTTAATGGTTTCCTTTATGTTTTCTCGATCATGACCCGTAGACTACTAACACATAGCTATCCCGTTTCCGCCTCTCTGTCTGTCTGCATCTGATGACTTCACTTCAAAATTTTGCAAAGTAAAAGTTATTGAAATCTTCTGAAGTAAAATACTTCTGTTGGTTTTATTTCCTTTTTTGTGAGTTTTAGCCGCCTTTTGAAACCTTTTTTTTTGTTGTTCTTTTTTGTCACTTTTTGTAGTCTTCTTTTTGGATGATTTATATCCTCGGTTTTGAAAGGTTTGTTTGTAGCGTTTCTTGCCCTCATTTTGTCGCATTTTTTGTGACTTTTCCTTGTCGCGTTTTTTTTTTTATTCCCTTTTTTGATCACATTTTTTTGTCTTTTTTAGTGACTTTTTGTTGTGACCTTTTTTCGAATTTTAAATAATTTTTCTTTAGTTCCCCGGTTTCACATTTTTATTGGCTTCTTTTGAGTACTTGTCTTTTTTTTTGTTCTTTTATTGTCACTTTTTTGTAACATTTTGTAGCTGTTTTTCTTGTTTTTTTGTTACTTTTTATAGTTTACATTTTTGGTGAACATTCTTGTTGAGCTTTTCTTCTCTTTTTACTTCCCGAACGTAGGCTAGTAAAGTATAGCAATCGAGTCCACTTTTATGTTTTCTGGACGTTTCATGACCTCTAGAGTACGAATAAGGTAGTTTTCCGTTTCCCTCTGTCTGTCTGGCTGTTTGTCTGTCTATCTGATGTCTCTATCCATTTTTATTAGACACGTAATCTCCGAAACTACCGAACCTATTGTTGTCAAATTTTGTATGTATATTAGGAGTTTATGTGGATGGTTAAACGTAAAACAAAATTTCATCTAATCATCCCCACCAAAAACGTGATGCCATCTCCTCAAAATTTTTAACAATAAATAATTTTAAATTTTATAAAATTATATATTCCTATACTTGTAGTTTACGAATTTGCGTTTAGTTTTAACCACAACTTTTTCACAAAAATGTTTCTGGAATATTCACTGCATGTTGTGTATAAACTAAGTATATCTCGCGCGCTTCCGCACAACTGTGTTGTAGCTGCTTGGGCTGAGGCGCCAACCGAGCGTTCGAATAAGATCTACGCTAGTAAGGTTCGAATCTCATTCGCATCCTCGTTCCATCTTTTTTCAGAAAATCTAGAACGATTAACTAGAAAATTACAATAATGTCACACCATAAAAAATTCAAATTCTTTTGAAGGATAAACATAAATACTCAAAGTTAACCATGTATTTACCAAGAGTTAATTTTTACGTTAAATATAAGCATTTGGAATTCGTTTCAGGAGCGAGGGAAGTTCTGTGGAAATAAATTTCAACCATTTTTACTTCCCGATCTTTCATGACTCCTAGAAAACGCAGAAATAGGTCTCCTATTTCCGTCTGTCTGTCCGTCTGTCCGTCTGTGTGTCTGTCCGTCTGTCCGTCTGTCCGTCTATCCATCTGTCCGTCTGCCCGTCTGTCTGCCGTCCCGGATTTTTATTAGACCGACTCTCTACTTTTACGTTTTCTCGATCTTTCATGATTCCTAGAAAACAAAGAAATAGTTCTCCCATTTCCGTCTGTCTGTCCGTCTGTCCGTCTGTCCGTCTGTCCGTCTGTCCGTCTGTCCGTCTGTCCGTCTGCGGTTCCGGATTTTTATTAGACAGATAATTTCCGAAAGTACTGGACCGATTGTTGTGAAATTTTGTACTTATATTAGGAATATCATGTAGATGGTAAAACGCTAACCAAAATTTGTCTAATCATCCCCACCACTAATACGATGACGTCACTTCAAAATTGTACATAATCAATGAGTTTTAAATGGTATAAAATAACATAGTCCTACACATGTAGTTTATGACTCCAAATTGAGTTTTTACCCGAAACGTCCAGAATTATGAAACAACATTTTGCAATTTAATTTTGAATCTGCAAAACCGAATACTTTGAAATCTTGTAGATGGTTTACAGTTATGATAAACATGATAAATTTTTGTTCAAAATACATTTACTTATCCCCTCCAAAAAATTGATGACGTCAGCTCAAAAGTTTGGCAAATAAATCCTATCTAAAATGTACAAAAAAGGATGAGTTTGTACTTGTGATTTATCATTCCAATCATATTTTTTGGATTTGCAGATACAGGGTGACTCAAAAAAATTAATGAATGTGTGAATTTGTTTTATTGATTTAATCAGGAACTACTAAACCGAATGCTTTGAAATCTTGGAGATGCTTTAAATTTATAAGCATACTAAAATTTTGATCAAAATGTATTTGCTCATCCCCCCTAAAAATTTGATGACGCCGCAGCAAAATTTTGCTGAAAAAATGCTATCTTAAATGTGTAAAGAATGATGAGTCTATACTGGTGATTTATCACTGCATTAATATTTTTTAGATTTGCTTATACGGGTGTCTGAAAAAATTAATGACTGAGTCAATTAATTTTATTGATTAAATCAAGAATTGCAAAACTGGATACTTTGAAATCTTGCAGACGTATTTGTTTTAAATTACAAGTACTATACAGGGTGTGCCTGTTATCTGTTCACGCCTGACAATTTTTGCATAGGCTACATATTATACACCCCAGAGACGACTTCGTCCTATTTATTTTTTTTTAATAAGCAATCATAGCAACCACAAAAAAATTACAAAGAAGTCAATGCCAAATAATGACAAAATTGAAAAAATTAATACTCAATTTATTTTAAAATGCTCCACTACTAAAATGTAATGCGAAAAAAACATAATAGGCATGCAGTCGTCACGTTTCCGACAGCGAGGGAAGTACTGTCTAAACTGTTTAGACCAATTTTTTTAAATCTTTTTGTAATATTGTTTGTTATTGAATTTTTCTTGTCCGCTATTTTTATAGCCTTTTTTCTGGGCTATATTTCATTTTTTTTAAAAGCGTCTTTGTTCCCATTTTTTGATCTTTCTTCATAGGCTTTTTAACTCCCTTCCTTTATTCTTTTTCTTTAGCGTTTTTGAGGAAATATTGTATCAGAGTCCATCAGGCGTGACGATTTATTAGATAGATCATTTCTGAAACTACTGGGCTGATTGTTGTCAAATTTTATATGTATTTTAGTAATATAGTGTAGACAGAAAAACGTTAAGCATCATTT